TAAAATAAAAATAATTCTCAAAATAGTCGTTCTGAATGGTTTTAGAATGACTATTAAATACTGAAGACTCCTCCAAAATCTTTTTAAATTTATCATCGAATTTTGATAACAAATTTGCTAATTCTTTGAAATTACCTTGATTAGGAGAGATTTGTGATTTGTCATGTCCTCGAAATGATTGTTTTTGTGTATCAAAGAAAATCATCATGTCGATAAAACGTTTAAAACTATCCCCGTTTTCTTGGACGGTCTCATTGTGTTGTAAATGTATTCACGATAAACCGAATTAAGAGAATTTTGTATAGTTTACTTCGTTTTCCAAGTGATTTTCATTTTAATGACACAATTTTGTGTTTTTCAAATTGATCATGTTTTTTTAAAGCCGTACCGATATGTTTTATATCGCTGTAACCTGTAGAATTCCAAAGTGTTTGTAATTTTCCGTTAAATAGCAGACAATTCCAACAGTACAGTTTGTTTGTTATTTCATTACTGGTCATCCTATATTGTATCAGTTTTGATTAAAGTCTTTATTACTACCATACAAGAGTTTGTCATGACTAATTTTATATCATTTCGGGACATGGTCTTAATTTATGCATAAATAGTTCATAAACATCAAGTTCCATGTTAATGAATTCGAAAAAAAACAACTCAATATTGTCTTTACCTTTATTTATCACCTCTTTAATATTACTTGCAGTCGGATTTACCATTAAAAAAAATAGTTTAAAATTACCTGCTTGAGTAACCGCCTAACGGTTCGGTAATTTCAATAAGCTACATATATTTTATAATTAAATGCACAATGCAGTTTCTGATATAACTAATTCCAATGAGTCGTGTCTGCGACGAACGTGACGACGACCCATACCGAGCACTTCCGATTCTCCAGGGTGCTTTCGCTCATCCTATAGGGCAAAGCACGTAACAAAACTGTGTGGACTGCTAGGATTAAATAATAATAATTTAAGAGTATTTTAACTTTTGTTGACTTTGCTACAGTTAACGAAGCATTCACTTTATTAAACAAAAATGTGTTTGTAATAAGAGAACAATATATATGTTACATACATATTTTAATAATAAGTTATTACTTCTTATTATCCGTGATTCGAATTTTTAGATTTATACTTCATTATAAAATTTCATATGAAAAAGTATTTATTAACTTTGGTGTTGCTAAACAAATAATATTCAAGAACTTTGGCATAACCATTATTTTCCTTCCAACCTTACCCACATTTAAATAGAGTAATAAAAATAATTACCTACTTATAATCAAAATGAACAGAAAAATCGAAATTAATTTATTGAATCGAATATCAGAATACGCTTCTGCATCGTTTGAGATATACATTGGCGGCAAGGCGTCGTGCCGTGCTTGATACAAGAAAACGCTGCTATGTATTGTAGCAATGTGTGTTTTGCATTTTTTACTGTCAATCAGGTACACAGAAAACCGAATGTATGTCGTTACTTACAGTCAAGAAAGTGGGCTAACGCCGAGATCTGACGCATTTTCCGGAACTGCAATTTCTCAGTTGGGGAAACTGCGGAATGTAACGAAGAAAATCGATTGGCTTAAATAATGTTTATGGCCATAATTATTTGTGTACAAAAATAAAACATAATTAAAAAAGAAAAAAAAACAATATTTTACTTTGCACTGTAAACAATAAAATAGGGTTGACATTGCCCACTGTGCCCACCTCGACGAGTCGCCACTGGGTCCTTTATCAGTTCAATCGGTTCTTCGAAAAATACATTGAATTTACTTATTTCCTTCTTTCTGTTAAAATTAAATCGTCCTTCTCTTAGTTTTACTTAACTATAAAGGATCTTAATCACAATTTAACTCTTTAGAAAATTACGTAACTTACATATAGGTAAATATTGAATTGTTATCTCATATGATGATGGAATTACTACAGCAATTTTAAAGGTACTATTACTGTCTTGTGACAGTTTGATAATATCAATGTATTTTTCGGTGATTAATACTCTTCGTATTTGTTAAGAAAATTTCGACGAACGATCCCATTAGTTTGACAAAAGAAATGTTTGAAAATATAAAATTCTTGTTTAGTAGTTTTTCCACTTATGTCACATTTAATTACATAATTCCTGCTGTAAAAATGTTACCATCTATTGCTTTAATATTTACTTTATATGGTTGAATAATAATAATAATTCATAATAATTAGTATCACGAGGTAAACAATATAAATTTTATAGTTGTTGTTTCTAAAAAATGTTGGTCCTTATACAGCCTAGTTTTCAATAATTGTATTAATCTGACTGACTGATTGTAGCAGGAAAAAATCTGTTCCGGCATATTTTCCCTTATAGTGTAATTTACCATATTTTGTGTATTTTATGGATTTCGACATCAGTGTTGGTTGTTCTTGAAATTTTTCTGACTGAAGTCCACCACTATTACTGTTAACATTTTGTGGATTATTGTAATTCCAAAATTTTGTCTAAGGTGTGATTTGCCTACGTTAAAATGATTAAACTTGGGCGAAAAATTTAGCAAGGTTATGGCTTAATTGCTACGTAACTGGCGGTAGTTTTGATGATTTAGTCACAGTAGACTGCAGAAAATCCGCTTTCCTGGGAAGACCTTCTATTAAATAAAAATGTAACGTGTCATTGTTTGTATTTATTGACTTTTATGAGGGATACGCTATAAAATGCTTATGAAATCAAATTCGTAAGCGCACTTACCTTTAGCCGAATTTTATTTGAATTATTACGAAAGTCTCCTAAATATAAATATTATTACAGTGACCATGGTTCCAGCCTGGGTAAATTTTTGAACTTCGACCTCATGTAGGTATGGATACTGACTATTTTCAGGTTTTGGGGTACCAGTTTCGTCAATGGTAGATCCAATACAGACTTTCAAACTAGTAAAATTATGTGCGGTTGCGATTGTTCTGTGTTTGGAACTCTTAATCCATCTGAGAGTTGTTATTAGTTTGATTGTCAAGTTTACACAAAATTCTTTAATTCCTTTATCAAAATGTTCTGTTGACTTATTACTTTGAACCATACGCGTTAATTTCATGCTAAGGCGGCAGTATTTTATTTTATACTTAGTTAACAAATGTATTTTCATGTCTGCTACTAATGCTTGCACTGAATCATAATTGCCATTTAATCTAATTTCTGGACTAGGTGACAATCAAGTTTTTAAAACAAAATTGATTATTTTTTTGTCCCGAGTCCAACAGAGTATCATTGAGTTCATTGCCATAATACCAGTGGTAAAGCGACAGCTTCATTATTATTCATTTCGGGTAACACATTACAAGCTACTTTTGGATCAAAAGCCACTTTGGGAAGGTACTTTTCCTTTTTACAAAATTTAAACTTCCATTTTATACTTTATCGATAACCGATTTTTAAATTCTTCTATGTACTTCCTCAATATGCAACTTTATCTACATCTTTAATCATTGTGCATGTACTAATAATCGTAATAATAATAATAATTAAACAGTCACGTCGTCGGTTTTTTTCTAAACATGTCCTAATATTTTTCAGCTTAACGTAATTATTTTGTGTACTGATACCATTTAAATTACAATAATTAAAATTTAAAAAATAGCTGAATCACAAATAAATCGTCCAGGAAATGACTCTTTAAATATACTTACTTCTATTGCGATTATAAAATTCAGCAGTGTGTATATTTCGCTTACGGCAAATTTTCTTGTATCGACACCGCATCAAAGTACACAAATTTGCTACGTTTTGATAACTACGTATCCACTCGTATCATCACTCTTTAACTTCCTATGTTCTTGCACTTTTCAAAAGGTTAGGAAATTCATTAAATTGTAACAAAAGGTCATAACTGGGCTGTCGAAAATACACAAAACACTTAGATACACACAACGACGAATACGAGCCCAGTTCCTTGGTGAATCTAGTTTCTAACTCAAAAGAAACTCCGGAGGTCATTTCGTTAGTTCTTTTGCTAGATTTTTCGTAGAGAAGGTTTCCCGTTTCTGAGGCAGACGAACACTTGTAGCAACAATAATTAATAATACAGTGAGTTCTATTAACATCCAATCCGTACTTGAAAACGATGTTGGAACATTTCTAATACGGGTTTGGGATATTATCACTTCTTCTTTTAATTGTGGTCTCCTCTTGAAATAGTGGATATGTAAGACTTTTCCAATATTTTTAATTTCGAGAGTGACGGACGTTGCATATTTTATCCAAATATGTATTGTACAGTGTGGGTAAGGGCCGCCATAGTACTAAGAGAAATTTTCTTACTAGTAGCCAATTACTTAAGTCTATTATAACTCCTTAATATTTATTCCATTTTCTATTGAAGTAATGTTTTCGATTACACCTTGTAATATTTTTATGTGAAGTTCGTTTATCTCAATGAGACTATATCCAACACATTTGGTTAGTCTAACCTAGATAATTTTTTGGATTGATACAAAGAAACAAATTTTCAAAAAATTGTTTGAATTTTCGGGAAAATTACCAGTGCCAATACAAAGCATCAGTTCGGCGATTCAAAGTTAGTGCGATGAAATATGATTGATTTGAACACAATGATAAAAACATGTTTTTGTATATTGTGAGAGTCTAAAGCGGCGAATCCTTTCAAAGTTATAACCCTGGAATATATCAACAATAGCTGTTCAATAGCTTTTCGAGTAAAGGATTTTATATTGCAGACGCATACAGCTTCGCTGTGACCTTTGATCAGACAACAGTTAGCAACGACTAAAAATTTTCCAGAATTCTATGATATGCGTATTTTTGGCATCATAATAAAACTGCCGCTACGGTAAGACCTGTTGATAACAATATAAGCGCAAGCGCTCCCACCAATTTCATTCAGGAGAATTTGATGAATACGAGACTAAATAAATTCAAGCCGCTGAAACTCGATTCAGTTTCAGCGCGTACTTCAACTTGACGCGCTATCTTTTCAGCTGCTGCTAATCGAAGACACGAAAATCATGATATACTACCTCATTTTATTTTCTTGGACAAGTGTTTCTTTTTCTTTAGAGCATCAAACAAGTTGCAACAATGTCAACAACTCTACTCAGGATTATCAGATTCTTTATAGTTACTTAACTGGAACCGGAGCGCACAATTTCAGCGAATCCGTCACTATAGGATTCTTGGGAGCTTACGGCCAAGCTCAGGTGGTTTTGGGAGCTTTGCCACTAGCAGTCGAGGCGGTCAATGAGGATGCAGGTTGGTGAGCTTTAATAAATTTTTGATAGAATGCTTTTTCACGTTGACGTTTTTTTTTATCACAGACATTTGTAAAAGTCACACAGGACATACGTAAGCATAATACTCGCATATCGGCTTGTAAAATAATTGGAGTATTTATTATTATTTATCAAATTAATTTAATTAATTAATTAATTAATTAGTTTATTTAATAAAATATTTAATTACATAGCGATTATGGGAGATAAGTAGGTATAATTGCCTTTTAATCTGACAATAAATAGCACAAATCACATAAAACTACCTCACTGTTTACACAATTTCACTAAGCTTATTAGCTTTATAGATAGTACTGCAATTAATAACATTAATTACATTCGAATTAATTTTTCTATGCAGATAAACGTTAAATTAGATTTTCGTGAGTGAAACATAAAGCTGATAAGTATTTGAGATTTGTAATTTAACATGACAGTAATGAATGAATTTTATGAAAGGCGATTTTGAAGTGTCAGGAAAGGCACTTACATTACTTTACCTCCAAGAAACTTTTATCATCATTTAAACATTTCTTTTATATCCAGCGGTTTAATTGACTTCCTTCTTTTTGATTTCCTTTTATTTCCTCTTACATTAGTGAATTTCCATTAATTTATAAAATGTTGACGTGACTTCTATTAAATTCCCATACTTTTACTTAACTTTTTTCTGGAGATTTTAAACAGCATATATCAACTATTTATTGTTACGTTGTACGGAGAATTTTTACCTCCCAAGCGTAAGCTAAAGAGGTATTGTAAAAGGGCCCATTCGACGAATGGCTACTTTCATGTTTTTTCGACGTTTCATGGGCCCTAGAGTACGAAAAAATAGGTTTCGCATTTCCGTTAACCTGTCGTTTTTCGTCTATCGTCTGTCTGTGTCAATTTTTTATAGACAGGTAATCTTCGAAACTACTGGACCGATTTTTATCAAATTTTATACGAGTGCGTATGTTAGGAATATATTGTAGATGGTAAAACGCTAACCAAAACTGGTCTGATCAACCCCCACCATTGAGATGACGTCATCTCCAAAATTTACAAAACCAAATATTATTCAATTTTATAAAATAACACCTTATTTAGAAAGTTCGTCAAAAAGGTCATTTTTACGTAAATATGTACTCAGCTATATTTAAAAATAAAAATTATTAGTTTCTCATATTTTTCAAAAACATTTTATAAAATTTTCGAATTCATTTCTAGGTAAGCTCTCTTTTCATTCCACATTTACTCAAGTATTTTTAAGATATACCTCAAAAACTTGGCATCTAAAAAAGTTTATTAATTTTTAGAGTCAATTTTGAAAATCTTCTACAATACGGGTGATCCTACTTGACAACGTAAGAAAACTGACTGGAAACGGGATGTTTCCAAATTGTGAAACAGAGGTTTATGAAATAAATGTTTTCTCCATTTCGTTTATATTATGCACATTAGCAAAATAGTATATTGCACTAGCAGCATAGAAAATTATTCGTTTTCCTTGAGTGAGGAATTCGTACTCTATGTAAGTTGTAGTAAGCTATACCTTTCTTATGACTCACTGGGATTTTGCCAAAGTAGTACATTTCGACCCGCTTACAATAAACAATTTTCTAAACATTATATTATATATACTATTTGTCTTCTATTGTTAATGCGCTAATATAATAAGTAAAAGTGTTGCATAAAATGTAGAGCTAACGTGTTTCTGTACCTGCAGGGTCCTTGTATAAATACAAGTTTTGTAATTTGTCTCAGAATCGAAATAAAGAATTTTTTTTACAAATTTTGGTAAAGTTGATTTAGAAATTACATATATAACTGTAATTAACTTGAGACGTAAATTTAATATTAAGTTTTACTTCCCGGGCGTAAGCTAAAGAAGTATTATAATCGAGTCCATCGGGAGGCTGGCTATTTTGATATTTTCTAGATATGTCATAACCCCAAAAGTACAAAAATATAGATCTCTCGTTTCCATCTGTCTGTCTATTTGTCTGCCATTTGTGTTAATTTTTGTTAAATAGATAATCCGAAACTACTAGAACGATTGTTGTCAAATTTTATACATAATGTGTATAATGAAGATTTAACCAAAAGTTTGTCTAATCATTCCCACCAACAACGGAATGACGTCACATCAAAATTGTAGATAGCAAATGGGTTGTAAATTGTACAAAATAACATAGTTGCCGAATAAATTCTATCTAAAATGTGCAAAATATTTTGAATCTATACTTGTGATTTATCACTGCATTCATATTTTTTAGAATTGCTTATGTGACTCAAAAAAATTCATGAATCAGTCAATTTATTTTATTGATTTAATCAGGAACGGGTCACTCCATTTTCATAAAAAATTGGTAATACAATTCTGCTTTATTACACCTTTCCAAACTGGTATACGTGTTTTTGCAAAAATGCTGAAATTTGTATGAAACATACTCTCTCTATATTGTGTTCAATTTTTAGCCTGGATATCTGGATTTTTGAAAAATTAAATTGAAACTATAACATTTTACAATTTAAGGTCGAAATTGCAAAATCCAATGAAATGAAATATTGAAAACATGCTACGGTTATTGTAAGCATGATAAATCCATAATCAAAATTTTATCTTAACTAAAAAAAATGAGTTAGGAATGTTCGTGATTCTAACACGTGATACTCTATTAACTGCAACAAGTCGCGGGTAATAGAAACTTTTGTGTTGGGTGTGAAAGGCTTAAATGACTCTTTTTGGAAGAAATTTTACTAATCGTTGGTAAAATAAAATTGCGGTACTTTGTTTCATTCAAGTTTAATTCTTTTATATTCATAAATTTAATTTTTTTGAATGAAAATGAAATAAACACGTACGTGTTTTATATAATAATATTATTATTAATAATAATAATAATAATAGTATTTATTGCCCAACAAAAATTATATTCCATTTAAAGGACAATTTTACATATAAATGAAATGAAAAATAAATATAAATAATAAATAATTAAATATATAATATATATCATTTGTATATGTACACATTTCTCTAGTATACACAGCGTTCAGCAGGTTTAATTGAATCTGTGCTACAATTTTATTGTTATGTAAATAAGTAAACACTGTAAATACAACCCACGTAGATTCCTGGCTTTTATATTTGCATGACGATGCGAATATAATTATATTGATATCTAATACTATTAAACGAGCAAAGTTTGTATATATATATTTATATATATATATATATGTAATGGGTTTCTCGAAAACGGCTCTAACGATTTCGATGAAATTTACAGGTTAGGGGTTTTTTGGGTCAAGAAATCGATTGATCATAGTTTTAACTTCTGAAAATTACAGCTTCATGCATTTTCAGCAATTTTCAGGCAGTGAATTATATTTGTTGCTAGGCAACATCAGATGACACTACACGAACACGAGATTGTTTTATATGAGAAGTTTGGGTGACAGTCTGACCGTACGTTTGACGTACCTTTTTATCTTCAATTGTACGTACCGAAACATACTCCACTGTATAGAGGACGTTGAAATTCACCTCCTGAGGTGAGAAAATTTACCAAAAACTAAACAGTGAGCGGATAAAAGGCACACGAAAGTGTGTTGAATTGAGATTATTTTGTCAAGCATTCATTTCAGAGGTTCCACGGTCAGTGTCAACATGTGATCGTTTTCGGGGATGGGACCGTGTTATTTGAGTTTTTGGGCTCAACGTTTCGCACACTTTCGTAAATGGCATCTTCGGGAGCAGGGTTGAGATTGAGAAATTAGGAATAACACAAAAGAGCACGGTAACTCAGTATGTTAACCACACCAGAGGCGAAACTCTTCTGGCAGTAAGAATGTGGTTGTGACCTTTTTCTAGAGTCGAGAGAGAGAACTAGGAAAAAAAAACGACAGAGAGAAAACTTGGGTAACAAATGAGATGTCAAACAATAATTCCAGTTTTCTGTTCTTTAATCTCTACATCGCACTCCGGCGAGAATAACGTCACATCTAAAAAAACATAAATTGTCAGTATTAGCAAAAATCCAATTGCTTAAACTGTAAACGCGCTTACCAGGCATTTATTGATTCTGGGAGCTCAATTGCTATTATAATCATTTATAATTCTACTATTACTATAGTAATAATAGACAATATAAAAATTGTTCCTAACCAGATGTTTCCCAGGGGTAGAATAAGTCAGGTACTTTGAGTTGTGTCACTTTTCTTGCTTAACAATATTCTATATTCTGACTTGTGACATTTTCTTTTCTAGTTGTGTCAGTTTTCTCGCTTCAATATTTCAAAACTCTATCATCTTCTGCAGCACTTTAAAAAAAAAAACTAAATTTATCACTGTCAAGTTATACCTAATGGAGGGAAGGTTGTGAAAGATTTTATGACAATATTTATAAAACGTAAAAAACACGTTTTTATTGTGAAAAAGTTATAATAACACCTTATCCTTATATTAAAATTACTAATTTAACCATTAATTTAAAATTGTGTTATACAATGCTTCATAAAATTTAGGAATGTGGTTCCCATTTATGAGATCCTGTATGTCGGTTTTTTTTCTGTCGGGAATATTAATTTTTCTTGAATATGCTGGTTTGCAATTCAGCGTTGTGAAATTCACTGGATGCTTTCGTTTACCAAAAACATTTATTTTCTTAAAAAACTCCTGCTCATACGATGTTTTTATATAAATCACACCAGGCTCGTCCTTCAAAACTTTGATGATCTTAATGTCACCCATTTTAATAGATTCGTTTTCAGTAGTTTAGCTAAAATTAGGCCCAATCTGCTGCGCAAGATCTTTCAGGTTTGTAAAATCTGAATGTGACATTTCCATTACCTTGTAAGGTACACCTGTTTTTTTAGCTGAGCGGATTATTCTGGCATATTCCATTGGATGGTATATTGGTCCTGACTTCAAAGCTTGTTTTACAGATTTTTCAATGACAGCATGAACATTGTCGCCCTCATTTTGAGTATGTCCTT